AAATAACGAAGAAAATAATGCAGAATTCAGAGCCTGAGTAGTACTGCCGTATAAAAATGGAACATCAGAGGCTTTATATTGGACTCTCACAGAAGCTGAAGTCAGTCGAGGTGGCATTTACACCAACGAACCAACCAATCAACCCACTCAGAGATAAACTTTGTCGGCTGAAGAACGCAATAGATCCAGGTATGAAAAATTACACATAAATCACCAAATACCATGTAATGATTGTGAGGTCAGTTATATAATATATCAAAATATCAGAAGAGCGGGATCAGTTAGATCGTCAGAATATAGAAATTTAGCTAGACGCGAAATAAATGATCCTGCTAAGTTAAATAACCTTAAAAATACAGCTCGGCCAATGTATTGCATTGCGTTCACTTGCCTTTAACCACACAAAGGGGTAAGGGGGACAGGGTGCAAATATTGAAAAGGGATGTAGTTGGGTGAAGACAGTGAGGGAGAGACTAATCATTGACTGAATCTGTGTTTATCGAATCAGCACACCTCACACATGCAATCTGAGTGCCACAACGCCTACACAGGAGATATGGAAAGTGGTGTTATGATGCCAGATCTTTGTCTCGAGGTAACCGCTTAACTACTGACCAGTGCCCACTTAACTAGTAGAGCAGAACACGCGATAATCAGCAGTAAAACCAGATTCATTTATTTATGACAAAAGTGACTGTATTTATACAAAAATAAGGTAGACTGGAAATCAAATAAAGTGATTATTATTATTATTATTATCAACCAATCCGGTTGAGAGTTTGGAATTGTTCAAGCGTCCAATCAGAGAGCAGAAACAAATGCATGTCGACGACGCGCTAATAACTTGACAATTGCATGTGTTTTGCCTCTTCCTAACACCTCCCCTTTTAAGATAGAGCTACCGGTAGCTTTTGTACCGCGGAATCACTTGTAGGTACTTTGGAGGTCTTGGTTGTCGTTGTGATCTCCTTAGCTTCTGGGACACTTTGCCTTTGTTTCGACTATTTTGGCCATGTGACGTTTTCGGATCCGTCGTATCTATCAATAGCTCAAATTGTACGTCGGCGGACTTGGGATCGTTCAACTCTTTACCAACTAGTCTATTTCTTATTTAATTGGCATGCCTGACCCAAATAAGGTCTCCAACCTTGACCTTGTAAATGACTTGGCCTTTTCTTCCAACGATCACTCCAGAAACCCATGGGCGATCTCTCCGTATGCAGTCACGAACCAGTACCAACTGACCAACCATGAAACTTCTTTGCTTGGTGCCATGACGTCTATTGAACCAAAATTCACTATTTCGACCACATTTGCTCCGTCTTGATGGGATCGGGATAATTGTATCCAAAGTAGTACGTAGTCTTCTTCCAAACATAACTTCTGCGGGAGATGTTTGATTTGGGCATGATGGGTTGGTTGTGGTTCGATAAATGAAGAGGAAATTGTTCAATACATCCTCTATCGATCCCTCCCCGTTTGACTTCTGAAGTGCGCGCTTGAGTGTATCAACAAAACGCTCTGCTTGTCCATTTGACTGAGGATGGTAAGGCGGGCTGCGAATATGCTGAACACCTAGTCGCTCACAAAACTGTTTGAATTGTTCAGCTGTAAACTGAGGTCCGTTATCGGAAACGATGATCTCTGGAACACCAAATCTGCCCTAAAGCTGAACCAACTTATTTAATGTTATCGTCACTGTGGTATTTTGCATAATGAAAACCTCCGGCCACTTGGAATACGCGTCGATTACCACGAGAAACTGTTTGTCATTGATTGGGCCGGCAAAATCTATGTGGATTCTTGACCACGGTTTTCCTGGGTTGGGCCACGGCTGTAGGTCTGTCTTGATAGGAATTTTCAAAGCCTGAGCACAGCAAGAACATGAGCGAACCATCGCTTCTAATTCACGATCGATATTTGGCCAGTAGACGTAACAGCGTGCCAACGATTTCATACGGCCAATACCAGGATGCGTAAAATGTAGTTGACTCATGACTTTTTGTTGGAGACTTCGAGGCACGACCACACGTTCGCCAAACATAATGCAGTCATTGACCAGGGATGACGAATGTCGTCGTTGATAGAACTGTTTTAAATCTGGACAATCAATACGCGAGGGCCAGCCACAACGCAGATACTGTTGAACTGACTGTAATGTCGGGTCACACTGCGTCTCTCGTTGAACCATGTCGGCTGAAACAGGTAAAGTGTTTATTGCCGTCATCAATACGTGGCACACGTCTTCATCGACAGAAACGCCGGCAATCACAACGTCCTCCCTTGCGGACTTGTTATAGCTGAGTAAACGCTAGAAGACATCTGCACTCCCGAAATCGTTTGTAGATTTGTACTTGATCTGAAAGTCGTATCCTAGTAGCATAGTCGCCCATCGTTGGAGTCGATTGGCTGTGTAGACTTGAATACCTTTCTTGGAGCCAAAAATCGATAATGGTCATTTGTGATCAGTAAAAAGTGTGAACTTTCGGCCAAGCAGCATTTTGTGGAACTTTTGAATCCCAAACACGAGCGCTAATCCTTCCTTTTCGTCCTGACTGTAATTCTGCTCTACCTTTGTCAAGGTTCGCGATGCATATGCTATTGGCTTTTCAACACCGTCTGGAAACACATGTGAAATGACAGCGCCAATACCATAGTTGGACGCATCTGCAGCTAATGTTATATCCAGTTTTGGATTGTAATGTGTTAACAGCAGGTCAGACTGGAGTAATTTCTTGACCTTGATGAAAGCTTGTTGGCATTCTTCTGACCAGTTCCATTTAGCATTCTTCATGAGCAACTGATTCATTGGGGCCCTGAGACGATGTAAATCTGGCAGGAACGCACTATAGTAACTGATCATCCCCAGGAAGGACTGCAGCGTACTGAGATTATTAGGGGCAGGCATCTGTTGAATTGCTGACACACTGGAGGGGTCGGGTTTGCAACCATCTTTGTCAAAAATGAATCCCAGGTACTTCACTGAAGTCATGAAAAAATTGCACTTATCCGGACGTAAATGGAAACCGGAATCACTGAGTATTGTCAGGACTTTATCCAACCAATTGGAGAGTTCGAATTGAGTTTCTCCTGTGACTATGATATCATCGAGGTAAACGGCCACTCCCGATACACCAGCTAATATTGCATCCATTATCTGTTGGAATATAGCAGGAGCAGGTTTAACACCATATAGAAGTCGCTGGAACTGATACAGTCCTTTGTGAGTGTTGATTGTCAGAAGCTCTTTAGAATCATCTTCGACCTCAATCTGTAGGTAAGCCTCAGCTAGATCAAGTTTACTGAAGTATTTACCGCCATTCTGTTTGACAAATAGATCTTGCGGTACTGGAAGTGGAAACGGTTGATCTTCAAGGGCATTATTGAGTCCTGTTGAGAAATCAGCACAAAGTCTGATGGTACCGTTTGCTTTCTTGACAACCACTATGGAAGCTGCCCAGGATGAGTAATCGACTGGCTTGATTACGTTCAACTTTTCTAAACGATCCAGCTCTGCGTCAAGGGACGATAGTGCGGCATACGGTACTGGGCGTTTTGGTCTAAAAACTGGTTTGGCATAAGGTTTGAGGTATGGTCTGGCTTTTTGCACGGTACAGCAACCCAAAGACTCTCGTTAAACGGCAGCGTGTTTGGTGTGAAGATGACTCATGAACTTTGCGGTCGGGTTCGGATGCATCAACATGTTGGTAGGACTATCTGAGCACTGTACATTGGAACAAACTGAGTTCAGTAGGACATCCCAGAGTTTCATCTTTTCGATCCAGTCAATACCAAGCAAGTTCAAATCATGACGATTGTTGATGTAGCATGTTCCTTGGAACGAGGTCGACCGGAAAGTTATGTCGCATTCAATCTAGCCAGATAATTTCATTGCGTCACCCGACGCGTTTCTTGCAGTATGCTCCGTTCTCTGATAAGGTGGACACCCGAGTGCCCGCCACGTTTGGCGGGCAAATATACCTTTAAGCGCAATCGCTCCTTCCAGATTGGTTATTGCTTTAGAGGCTGAGGGCGTTGACGTCCAAGGGCAGTACGATATTTTCTAATTCAAGACCTAATGCCCACAACTTCTATAATATTTCTTCCTCGTCGAGACCATAGGCAAAGCAAAACGCTAAAATTGATCGTCCGAATTATGAAGTACATTTTGGGTGAGGGTGATTGCTTAACTACCTAGGGATCGTGCGCAAGCATCCGAACGTAACACGACAGCGTGCCAAATTGTATGAATGCTTGACCGTTAGCCCTCAGCTGAACAAGTCGAATTAAACAGTGAAGGTCAGCATCCAATGTTCAGTTATGAATGCTGTGGCTAATAATTCTGAGAAATTACCTGCCTCTACAGTGCATTTGTGCCTTTCGAATGTCTAAATTTAAACTTTTTCATCTACTCTAAGACTAAGAATGAGCCGATTGTTGGGTCGCCAGTATGAATGCATCACTCAGCATTAAGGTAACGTTACTCTGTTATGTACCTGTCTCTAATTGATATGATCACATCGATAGTTGATCTGGCCGACTACACTTTTGGGTATAGTTATAATAGTACCGAGGCAATGGACAGCTCAAACGATATGCTAAATATACCTACTCGTACGTGGTAGCTACCGCCTCACTGAGCCATATAACTATCAGAAGACAAAGGCTAGCACCTGTAACTGTTGGGATACAACTTTTATTGAGTGAGAGCATATCATATTTATATATATTTGTAACCATGTTAAAATCGGCTCAGGGCAGTGGAAATAGACTGTTCTGAATCCTCCAGGTCAGTGAAAAGTGAAAATTATGATTTGTTGACGATTTGAGTAAGTCTAGGGTGTAAGAAATCGACGATGAGATTTTACAATCATCCAATCACACAATGATTGAATCATATGAAGTTTACTACTTTAAAGTGATTCCTACCACATCCAAAATAATATATTTTATGATGTTTCATTGTTCTCTGCTTTTTACCGTTAAATTTTCATCTATAGAATCGAGTATCATCAATTCATCAGGGACTGTCAACTACCACGGTGATCAAAATCATTTCGACCAACAAGGTTCAACGTTAATGATGGAGAATTCATCATTAAATGTATCACATTTATAATAAATATAGTCGTCATTTATTGACTGATGATAGTTTCTAAACGAAAACTAAAAAGAAAATTTTTTTCCTGCAACTTTATTTCTACTTTCATTGCAAACAATAAATTCATAAGTTTATTAAGATCATATATATTTTTATTTTCTTTTGGAGAAAACAATATTTTAAAACTGATGAAATATTATTTTTGTGTTTGATAAAACAAAACTCCACTTGTTCAGTGTTCAACAAAATCAGTATAACTTCATTCACATCAGGAATTTTGTTTCACTACCTGATAATAAATCGATTCAACTTCTATAGTGATGAAGACATTGTTTGTCTGATACCAGCGTTATACAACTCTATCAGATGACTTCCCATGCTGCCCAGTTGATTTCGAGTACACTTTAATTATGTCAGAATAGTCATTCCATTTATTACTGTTTTTTCATAATCATATCATGTTGTCAACTGTAACTATAAACAACTTCGAAATTTCCAAAATTTGTAGGTGTACAGTATTGAATCATCATTCCTACGCCATTCACTTGATACGATAAATAAGGATTCCCTTGTCAGTCTGTTCCTTAAACTATGCTGTACTAGATTTTTGGGCTATAAGTGCATATAGTGCTAATATTATTGTTCCTTTGGGTCACGAGTGAAACATAGAGCTTCAACCGACGCACATCTCCACTTAACTGTATTTGCTGATGTCTTCTGTACCTAGGTGTAAGGTTGTGCATAATCTCCCATATCCTCCTCGCCATACAATCTCCTCCATTTCACCCTTCGATAAAAGACCAACTCGTCGCTTACTTCTCATTCGGCCTCCAGTCGAGAGATGGCTTGGCTGGCGCACGACCATATTCCACAGTCTCCTCAAACTGTTCTCAGTCCATCTCGATTTTCGCCTGCATATTTGTTGATCGAGTGGCTTTTGATTGACTCGTTACCAGAGTTCCTTATTGCTTATTCTTTCTGGCAGGCCGGCTAACTGACTTTCAATATGCAGTCAGGCGAAGGGGCAGCTGTTGACAGAAGTCTGTAGTTGGCTGTTGAAAATGCTTTACGTGATGCACTGATCACGTCCCTCATCCATGAAGAAGAAATGATTGGTCAACTTAACATTGGTGTTGAAAAACCGAATCTGGTTCTTTGTGTTGTGGAACAGTGGAGATTTTCAGACTGATTTCAGAGTGATGAAGGTGTGTCTTACCTTTTCAACGCAGACTTTGACATCTTTATTAGTCCCTCTGTCTGTAGTTGAAACGATGCATCTTAGCCGGATAAGTAAAGAAAGTAATCTCTTTCAGATTTCTTCCGTTGATAGAGATTTGTGCTGGTTATTCTTGTTGCTGAGCAGCTGTTTTCATCATCTTAGTCTTTAGTTTATTCAGGTGAGGTCTTCTCTTCCCTGCTTCTTCTGCAAACCACTTGTTGATTTTTGCCTATTTGTAATTCTTCGAGTTAATTTGACGTTTGACATAAATCATAGATGCGCGAAATCTAGGTCTTCTAGGATCTTCTCATCAGCCCAACGTATTCCTGCCCTCAAGCACCCCACTGATTTTCTCTTCCATAATTCAGTTCACCAAAATCAGGGACATCATCGGTGATAACAGGCAGTCTTGTCTTACTCCTGTATTCACCCATTTCGAAGGCAGGTTTCGCTGAAGTTTCCGTTGTAGATCACTTGGCACGTACGATTGTCATATAGCCAACTGGTTGAATGAAGTTGACTAAGATTTGGTACACTGCACTCCACAGTGTTGAAATAGGGTCAAAACTACCTCACGGTCAACTCTGTCTGTCAGGGTGAAGCTGAGATGGAGGTTTGGATTCCATTCTGTGCTCTCTCTAATTGTTGTTGATTCGTAGGATTTCAATTTGATCAGCACATAACTTGTCTTTCCTGAATCCAGCATGATGTGGATTAATGAAGTTCTGCATCCATTGCATCTCTTATTCCCTCCAGGATGATGTGACTTAACATTTTACTTGGCATGGACAAAAGCATGCCACACCCCATTCTTATTTTTACTTTCATGGGAAAAACACACATTGGCTGGCCGATTGGTTTTCCGAAGGCTTTTACCAGCCCACAGAGTCATTTCGCCTCTCCAATTCAAGCTGAAAATAAGTTCCATTTTCCCATTTCTTGAATTTCTTATATCTTTCTCGTGCATTGAAGTATCTGTAGTGCTTTGATTTTCCGAAGTAGGGTCCCTAGCCCTGCAGCCGTCTCTCCCCCTTTTCTCAGGCTTTGCAGAGTATCAGACAAAAGTGACATAAAGAAACTGAGATAGTCGCTGTGCAGTACACAGGTCCTTTGACAGACAGTTGCTGAGTTGTTATGAATAACATGCGCGCTGACCGAATCAGTTGATACAGTTTCTTCACGACCTCGCTGACTTTCCGTTCTAAAGCAGCCCCTCAATACTTAGCAGTAACTATTATCTGCCAATATTTATGGCGCATAACACGTAACCCTTAATGTAGACATCCAAGATCAAAAGATAATTAGCCCTTTTACATTCTCCCAGTTCAAAATAGGGACCTGTTTCACCTTGAACAACTATATAAGTTGTAAACCACAACCTATTCCGTATATTGGCATTTAGGTAAAGTAGTCGGCTGTTTCGACTCTTTTAAGTAAGTCAAACAGGGTGTTACACTATACTAATGAGCTGACTTACTTGTTTAAACGTAGGATTACTTTGTATACAATTGGTGGATGGTGGCTAGCAGTGGAATCCAGGATGCGCATTTCGTCCTAATTGGGACTCGTCAGCTGGACTACTTTGCACATATGTCCAAAGCTTCGAGTTGCCACTCTCCCTGCACGTAACACAACCAGGCAAAAGAAGAGAGTAAAGAGAGACCCAAAAGAGAGTGAGACAATAAACAGAAGTGTGAGTGAGGGAAAAAGAATGGCAATAAGGAAGAACACAATAGAGTCTTAGTGGATGATACGGCAAATCACAAAGAGTGAGTGCATATTCACCATTATTGACAACTGGGATTTCGATTCATGTCACACTAATTGTCTCCAGTTATCAATGGTTCTTACCATCCAGAAGACTCCACCCAGGTAGACAGACAGTCTACACCTCCCTACGCGGTGGCTGACTGGTTGGCTTAAACAAACTTTTGTTATGGATTTCATTGACTGATGAAGCCATGTTTTGGTCTGACCACCCACCACTGGCTAACTCTTTTCCAACTTCATCCACCTTATGTTACCTCAGATAACATTTCCTGTCAATGAAGGCGATCAGTGACTAGGCTAGCATGCGTAACATACACCATTTCAATCAATGCAGATGTTTCACAACCTCGTCGATTGACTTTCCCCCTTACCTGGTGCTCGACGCCCAACTGCAGCAATATTACTCACCCTATTATACCATCTATCACGGCATGTAGGTAGAACCCAAGTACCTATGATGAGAGACAGCTAGTCGGCCTTTTCATGTCTTCCATTTTCAATGGCTGGTATGCCTCTCACAGCCATAAAGGAGGATGGAGCAAACTGCTGCTACTGTGCAGCACACACGTCCTTTGATCAATAACCAGCCGTTAATCAAGTCTACTTAGGTAGAGATGGTGGGTAAGTTGGCAAATCTCAAACGAAACCTTTGTATCCATGCTTAGATTTCGTCAGCAAGCAACTTGTTGGGCTGGCAACTTACCAAAAAAGGAAAATGGTTCTTGGTACACCCTACCAATCCACTCCACCGTCTCCCTTATATTGGCAGTTAGCAAAGACCTGTACTCCTGTAGCATCATCTTGCATTAACAGCAGCGAAGCGCATGTCAAACATTCAAAAGTGCTGTCCTAAAGTCCGCTAAACGACAGTACGGTGTTCATATCACTTATGTTTGACTGCCTAACAAGCTAGTTAACAAGCATTACTGGTTGATGTTGGTGGCGTCAAACTAGTCATATTGGTCATTCAATTAGTATTATATGGCTCCTCTCATCTATGGCCCACGGATAAAAACAAATATACTCAATGAAAAGGAGATGGTTCAGACAGACTCTGAGAAGATATCTGAGTGACACCACGTGGCGAGCCCTAGAGAGGAAACCCGATTTTTACGGGCGCCAAGACGTATTGATGTCAGACATCAAGTCATAATTCAAGCGTGAACTGACTTGATCACCAGACTGGATAGCTTTTGACTGGCTTATTTTCGGTTCGAATTTCCAACGATTTGCGATGCCATGCAGGCATTCAGATTTGTATTGTATTTATGGTTTGAATTTCTGAGGTTTTATAAAATACATGTACATATATACTCTATATTTTGAATAGCAAAAAATTGTCCTTGCTGTGGCAGTTATATCTGTCTTTTGTGTTCATCTCATTTTGGGGAATATTCTCTAAGTGACCACTTGCTTATGATGTCATGTTCAAAAACTTTCTCTGAGCAATTTAAAAGACAACCATAAGTCGGTAGCACCCCGTTATAGCAGAAATGGGAAACAGCAAGCTGGGCGTGCAAATCCGAAGGTGATGTGAAGGAGGTTATTTAGTGAGGAGGAGATAAGTGACTTTGAGTGATCGTGAAGCCAGATAAAGAGGACTGCTGAGAACCGGAAAAAGTGTAGATGTGGTGCTGAAATGCTACGTTCCACTCAAAACCCAAGGGAATAGTATTATTATTAATCTACAGTCCAAGTTTCGCTTCACAGTTAATTGCTAATATTATTTTGTTTCAGTGTATTAGCTGTAACCGATGGACTGCGGAAATATGCCTCACTGATTCAGGAACTAATGTTTCAGCCAGTTCTAGTCAAGGTTTTCACTCTTCATCACTGACTCCACCTACTTTAAGTAGTCAAACAGAAGTAATTTTGTATTTCCGTTGATTAGTTGTATTTGGTTGAAGCTGTTGGTCTGTGGCGGGTGTTGCACTCGAATCTCAGACAGAAACATGCCAGCATTCACTTGATATGTAAGTACATCCATTTGGAAAGTGGAAGATGGGAGGAAATATACGTCCAACATTCCATTGGTAAACACCATCATCTTGACCTGCAGTCCGGTAGAAAAGGAATGTTTAGAGTGGAGTCAGCGAAGTCACCCCGTACAGAAAA